GCAATCTAGTCTAATAATATACAGGTAATTAGATTTATCTTGGCATAATATTAGCGGTACTATGTTGTAAATAGATTTTTTACAGTTCGAAAGGTAATTTCATCGAAAGCAGCTGTTTTAATTCGACTTTATCGAACACTTTAGTTTTCTTTTAATAATATAGCAGCTTGCTTGAACTGAAAGATAATCATGAGAGCATCTGTTAGCCTTGTTTATAGAAAATTTTGGCTCTAATTTCGATGGAAGCGAGCCCTGAATTTTTATTGCAGCGTTAAATAAAAATCTACCAATGGAGACTATCGTAAGCTTGACCTAGTCCTTTAAAGAAACTTAAAATTTAAGCGGTTGGGAAGGAGAAACCGTTAACTGAAATAACTACCGAAAGCTAGAGTAGAGGCTATAGAATTTGAGTGGAACTATAGCGGGCATTTTCCAACAATGCATGTTTATTAACAAACCACATACTCTACAACAATCGGCCCCGACATCGTATCCGTCACAAATATCGTCAACCCGAAGCGTAAACTACCACGCCCTTTGCGGCGGGTCTTTTAGAATGAAGATCTTTCTTCTTTTTGAACCTAAGGAGCTAATATAATCGACACCTCGGTGTGTTCACCCTGGGAGGATCGTTCACCAATTCTACAACAAGACAGCAGGTCAGAGCTCCCTATTTATATCCCAGACACAGACCAAGTTGATGCTTAAAGGCCGCAAAGTGCTTAATGAAGTGCGGCTAACACGATTTCAATGGAACCACCAGTGATAGCCGACGTTACAATGCCACAACTGCCACCAACCCATCGGTCTTGAAAAATGCAGAAGTTCTTTTCCTGCAATGCATAGTCGCAGAAACTTCATTATAAAGATATCATGAAGTCTGTTCGCGAGAACTGCACACTTTTTCTGCTTTGCACAATTTTCATCGATGGGTATTCTGTTAGAACCGAGTTCTGATCAGTTGCTTTAGCTTATAGTCATGGATTCTGGCTTGAATCTACTCTGTCTGCCTATTGTGTATGAATTTCAGTGCGTTATATATTATTAGAATTAAATTGAACATTAGATTTCAGTTTTCGTTCATTCCTACCATTTGTTTTTACATAATAGGCTATGTTGAACTTTTGCAACTTGGCCAACAAGTTAAATGAGTATATGGCCGCGGAGCTGCAACACTATTGTATTTAATTGACCATATTTACTACTTTGTACGGAGTGATTGACGAGGAACGCTGTAGGCAGAAGAGTGTTAAATTGTTAAATGTTGGTGCTCTCAAAGGTTTCGGATAATTTAGACCTCCCAAAACCGATCCATGAATTTAATCGTCAGGTCTTTTTCGTCATATCCCTACGACGAGGTACAAATTCTCAAATATAATGCATTCAGCCATTTTCCTTTTGTAGTGCCTTCGTTGATTTGTAGCTGTTAAGGATGTTTAGAGTGGAAGATGTTCGTTTGACGTACGGCTTTGAAGAGATCGTTCTGGTGCGTCGTGCTGGTGGCTCTCAATGCAATGTGGCCATCAACACAAGCACTAGTCTGATACCATTAAAGTGCCGACAAAGCGAATGTTTACCCAGCGTCGTTATTTAATGACAATGGAATACATTCGTAGGTGAAATCCGAGACTTCGTCTTTACTTAGATCTTCACGAGGCCAACTTTGCGATGCTCATTTCGTCTGTTTACGACCGTGCTCATGTTCCATTTGATGAAGTTCTGTTTTGCAACTGAGAAGCGATGCTAAGGTTCTGTTCTATTCTTTTAGAACAAGTATTCCGCCTACCCGCTAGGATCTTGAGTTCTATTTCTGCAATAATTTCCTTCTTCTTATGATAGTTGCGACTGCACGCAACCAGTAAGGTGGAATCTGAGTTGATGCTGCACCTTTAATTCCATTTACTCCCGATTTTCTCAAGATATGATGTTCAGCCTTTAGTGCGGTCTAGTCTACTGATCTGCTCCATGTGTTGCATCCTAACCGCTAGGACGTCTTCTTGATATACAATACAGTGCAACCTACTATTATGGCACAAAGTTTTTCCATTTGTAAAATTACACTTAGCAGCATAACGTCATAACCATTAAAGTACTTCTTAAAGTCTTTAAAAATTTAAACTTAAGCAACTTTAAAGAATTCCCTCTTCCAACTAACCTCCGATGAGATATATTCTTAGCGCGGTTTTGCACCAGAAATAATTTCGTATTATGTACCCAGTTACAGCAGACTCTAGTAGAATACACATATTGACATCGGACGCTCAGATGTAGTTTATCTTAGAGCTGGAATTCATGGGTGCATGAACTTTCGGAATAAGATAAGATTAATATCCTGATCAGTGAGCAGGGGCTCTATTAAAAATCGCTTATGTTTAGATAGTGGTATGTTTGGCTATATAATGCACTCGCAGCAATCATATATTTAAAAAAAGAACTTGTCTGAGGATCACAGTTAGCTGTTTTCAATGATGCATATTGTGGCGAATAATGATGAACTAGGAAAGCAGGATGTTTTAGATAACGCAATACGAATTGCCAGCTATGGTACGTTTCGACTACAGTGCAGTATACTTAGAGCTTCAAAATGATAGCACGCACTTCATATCCTTTTTTTTTTTTGGAGGTTAAGGGCAAATGCGTTATGCAGGCCGGACATCATTGACTGTGCTTTGTCCGGTACTGTGGGACATCCCTCATCCACTAAACCCTGGACCCCTTTATCAGCCTGGGCCATGGTTCGGGATATGTTTGATATTACTTCGAAACCATGACTTGCAGGAACGGTCATTCGCACTTTATATCCGCCGCATACCTATCCCACCATAGTTAGTGGGTATTTAGACATCGGACTTCTTCCTTTGGACACTACTGTATACTGACCGACAACCTGCTAGTGACAGTAGACAGATCTTGAATATCGCTTGCAACTGTGTGCAGACTTTTCCTTTTTCGTAAAGGTGACAACTACAACTATCGCAATTAATGGGTTCGAAAATGTAAAAGCATGACCCTATTACGGATCACATGTCTGGAGATACCATCTGATATCTTTGCAAATAATTTTATAATAGTCTAAAACACATCTTGATTATAAACATTCTCCTTCCAAGATCTAAACTCCACCCACATGAATTTTATCTTATCTAAATGAACAACATTTATTCTAACAAAGTTACTCTTCTTAAACATTAGCGTTCAACTGAAGGGACACCTTCGAATAGTTTAACTCATCATCCCTACAGGCGATCATACCCTAACTGTTGCGCGATTTTTGATTGTGTGTTTTAATACTGAACACTTAAACCAAATAAGCAGTGATACAGTTTACAATCTATTTGAAGGTTTACTGGGTTTAGAAATCGGATTTTACATAACCGCTGCTCTTCAGTCCTATTCAGTATTCGACGTTCCTAGCTCGAGTAGGATGAAAACACGCGCGCTGTTTTATAAATTGTTCAGCACGCTGCCACTTTTATAAATTATTCCCACAGAGGCGTCGGTGCATGACGCGTGTTCAGCCTCTCAAAAAAAAATCGTCTAGTAAATCATAGAAAACAGAGTTTCCGAGGATACCATATTCTTGTAGTTGTTCCAATAATGAAGCGAGGAAAATTAAGAAATTCGTGCTGCTTCTGTTTCTGTGACCATTGCCTGCTCTCGTCCTCATCATTTCTTTACGTTCCCCTATTCTTGGTTGAGTTTTCCCACGCCCATGATGGGAAAATTAAATGTTAGCTTTACACTTAAAGCAACGCCCTATTTGCTTATTAGCTTGTGTGCTTGGAGTACGACATGACTTCCTTCATACGAGATCTTGTGTTGGAGCTTGGAGATATATTTGTGTGAGCCAACACTGTTTGCATATGGATACGACTGTTCCGTTAAGCGTTGTCAATATATGTATGCGTGCGTATTTTAGGAAAAGCTGAGCTATGTACACGATAAGCGCCCAGCCATGGAGAAGGTGTTTCTCTTCGCCTTCTGCAGTGTCATAAGAAGTTAGCCAACCACAACGAAAGCGAACGCACCAGTTCTATCGAGTAAAGAAAGAATCGGTGGGCGAGCATACTTAACTCTTGGGCACGGGAATCCAATCGATCATGCACGTGCTCATTGGATTAACACGGAATAGCTTGCTTGCTTGCTAAATGACAAAAAAGGCAGGAACACCACAAGACGCTCGCGAAGCGTCGTCTGTCCGAAACCACATATAAGAGCACGGCGTTATTATGGGGCCGAGTACACTTTTCATAAGATACTATATTTAGCAATTTTGAAATACGATTTCCTGATTCAGCTTCAGCTATGAACAACAATGAGAGATCGCGCTTGCAGGTACAGTTAATTTGGCCTATTCTACGTTATAAAATGCTACTCCGAGAAGCTATAGACAGGAATGTGGGCCGGTTAAGCGCTAGAAAATTACTAATCCATGGCAAGCGACATTACGTATGAGACAAGTTTGCTATCAAGTATATTTATGTCAATCACACTTGCAAAAAAAATCTAGCTGAACATTTGTAAATTATATAGCTGATAGTCGCGCCTGTAAAATTTACAACGCAATTAGATGTATTACTTAGAACTTAATGAAGGTCCTTTCACTGGACACATCGATATTCAACAACGGTAGGTCTGGTTATTATTACCGGACCCAACTTGTTCTGTGTTCAGTAGCAAAATTGGTGCAAATTTCGTGAAACAATTTAAAAATGACTAGAACCTTATTTAAAACCATTTTCATAATACTAATTGTATGGGAATGAATAAAAAGGTTAGTAAAAATGATAATATAATTAAATCAAAATCTTGACTGGCAAGGTATTGAAAAAATTAATTGCATTGCTTGTATTTTCGTGGATACTTTAAAAATTATCTTAATTACTTGAGATAGATTAAGTATTATCTATTTTCTTTAAGTATTTTTTTATACTTATTTTTTCAAACATTTCAAGTATTAAATGTTTGAATAAATAAGTATTTGAATGCATGGTTCGCACAACAAGCACTAACGTAAGCAAAGGACATTATGATAATTAAAAACAAAAATGTATTGATCTCCAGAATGTTGACTCGTTTATATATAATCACTTCATACTATGCCATGATTACGTACTCCAAAATTTTAGGGATAAATAAGGAACAAGTTATTCGTTAGGCTAACTTAGGCCTGATTTCTCTCTCTCAACCTTGACAGCGTTAAACTATGGTATATAATGCGCATCCGTTCGTATTTATAATGCACCGAAAAGAGATCTTTATGTGTACGAACAAAAATCATATCCTAATTATTTTAAGATTTTTACTCATTTCATGATCGACGTGGCAAGCATGGTTTGAGAAACCGTATCTTGACAATTTTTATGTGCCTGAGCGTATGGCAACGCGCAAGAACCTTGGTAGCCTATATAAATCTCGAAAGTATCACTCCGTTTATGAATTAGTTGGTCTATGATAAACGCGTCACATCATGCAATAGGGGACATATTGTTCCTTCAAGTAAGGCCTTTTTCGTAGTGTACGCTTTGTACCTGTGTACGCCCAGATGAGCTACGCATCAGGTTCAGTGATTGTCCCTTGTATTAGACCTCTCTCTAGCGCTTCGTTCTTTTAGCTGTCTTGGAGCTCCCTCCAGAGTCTGGTCTATCCCACATCCCGAAACTCGGACCTCATATTGTATGCCAGCCTCTAGCGCCTCTTCGTGGAGAGGGTGCCGTGCATACCCCTCACCTTCTCTCAATCTTCACGAATTGTTCCTCGGATGAGTATAAAAGCCGCGACCTCGGAGTTACATCAGTACCAGCATCTACTGGAAGCTAGTTTATCTTCCTTGGATTAAAAACAACGAAAAAACAAAACATTGATAGATTCACCGCTTGCTACTTCCCACGTATTTTTTGTGCTGGATTACGACCATTATCAACAATTATGCTCACAGTAAGTTACCTTAAGAAGTAGAAGTATAGGTTTAAAAAGTTGCTGCACTGGTTATTCATGTACCCTTTTGGAAACGCGTGTATTCTAAAGGCTTCCGACAGTAATGTCAACGCCAAATATTGTTCAGATGTACGTATATTTGGCTTTTGTTGATCACATCTAATGGTACGTCTGTGATTTCAGATGGGTCAACCGGTCGCTTGCCCTGATTTGTGTTCGTACGTACCTGTAGTGTCACTTAGTTCCTCGTACTCGGATGAAGAGGCTCATTCACCTGCTTCATCAGAAGACCTCACCAACGGCGACTCAACTTACAGAAAACGGAAGCCGGTACGTTGCATTGATGTGGCTCCAACTGTTCAGCAAAAGGTGAAACGCACCCGACGGCTACGAGCAAACGATCGGGAACGCAACAGGATGCATATGCTCAACGATGCGCTCGATCGTCTCCGTACGGTGCTACCTGCCTCGACTGATGATAGCAAGTTGACAAAAATCGAAACGCTGCGTTTCGCACACAACTACATATTTGCGCTTGCTGAGACGTTGCGCATGCTCGACGGTAAAAGCAAGATCTTCAACCAGTCAATAGCTGCCTTGGCTTTACAAGGATCACAAACAAAAACATGCGATCCTACACTTAAAGCTACCGTCCGGGAGCAGGTCAACCAGTTGCAAGCGGCTTGCAAATTATATATTCAAGAACCACTCAGCATCGATGACGCCAGCATCGCTATCCTGTCACCAAGCAATTTAAACTTAAATAGTAATTCTAGGCCTGCAAGCAGCCCTTCGTACCCTACTAGCGCTTGTTCACTGACCAGTAGCAACCAATATCCTCTCATGGAATACAGCGATTCCGGTACATACATGAGTGATATGAGCCCCGCGGGGTTTGAAAATATCTATTAAGGGAATGAAAAGCTTTTTCAATGCGATCTGAATCTCTATTTTGAAGTCACACATTATCAAAAAAAATAGTTTTATTCAATTATTTTTGAGCTGTTAAAGCTTCTGCAGCCATGCAAGAACACTACAGTGCTGTGATATAGGTAGCTCTTTATAGCGCATACACCCGTGAATCAAAGGAGGAAGAAATGATACGAACTGCCATTGAGCTACAGCATCGCGCATCGATTTGGTCTATTTAACCGATAAATCTATAAAAACGCTTGAGTTGTAGTTCAAAAAATGATGGAACATCCCATATGAAATATTCTGGACAAATCCTGCCAGCAAACGCAAATTATTTGTGCATGCACGTTATTTATACGCATAGACCAAAATAAACTATGTATCATTAAGAATTTCCTGTTTTCACTAATTGATATTTATTGCTAGCGTGTAAATACTAGGAACGATATACATACCTCACTCATAAGGGCGACATCGATCAAAAGAAAATTTATCTAGTTCACGTACTTTGCTGAAATCGCTTTCATTTCCACCATATCACATAATATTAAAAGATAGAGAAACTTAGATTCTACATTGCTACGGTCTACAAAATACCATAACGTCCATAAGACCTATTTAAAGCTCGTGGGCCGTCGTTAGCACAACGGACAAAGTTTGATACATAATGAGTTTTGTAAGAAGAGTACGATCAACAAGAGAGCGGTTAGCAGTCTAGTCAGGAGAGTCGAATATAGACTCTAAAGACAAAATTAGTGCTCCATCTAAATGATAATTTCGGCATAACTGCCCTATAGCACCATAAGCAGGTCCCCATTTCAGTTCTGTTAGCCCCTTTGTATCTCCTGCGGCGATGAAGTAACTTGAGACTCTACTGCCTACCCGCAGGGTCTCGTCAGCTTTATGAAACACCACCTATGCCAACCGCCCACTAACGAATAGGGATTTCTAAGAGTTAGAGAAGCCGCCGCGTAGAGTCTACTAGATCTTCATGTAGAGGGAAACAGCTCTGGGCGGGTGGAGGTGGAGGTGGGGGTAGATCATCGCGATAGGGTAGACATGAAAAAAGTGATCAATTGCAGTTCTAGGAGATTGAACATATGAATTAGAATAGAAATGTATGCACATTTAAAAAGACAATCGTAAACTGCGATTATACCATAGAATCAATTAAAAAAGTATGTATTTACTTACAATAATTTACAGTGCTTTATAATATAAGCATTCAATTGTTGTCAAAAACTATCGTCTGACTAGATTATGCACAATAAGATGCATTACGTTATGACCTAATACGAACCGGGAAAAGAGAGGATCCTTATAGGAAGCACACATATTATATATATTGATGTTCTTCGCTATAATCTGTGAGATCTAAAATTTAACTCTAGAAAAGTCTCTTTGTGAGATTCGCCATTCGTGGTTTCCTGCCACAGTGAGAGGGGGAATGGGGGCTCCATCGTGCGCTAGGGTTCCTCGGGTTTCGTTTCTTCTTTATCTTCCCTGGAGCGGCCACCTACCACTGTGGCGTAGCGGGTGGTTGATTTTTGCGAATGATTGTATACGAATATGTAATGAATTGTTATCATACGATGTACCCATGTAAAGCATATTATGAGACAATCATATTTGCGTATCAATACGTTTCGTAGCTTAAAGAGAGAGACGCTATCTGTATATTTTGTACTTGCATATTTCGGCTTGACATAAAAACGCACTATGTCCTAATAAATATTTGATCATTCTCTTCTCTGTTAAGTAACTTTATTGTCGCAGATTTTTCGCACTTATATCTAGTCGATACTGTCGAATGGGCTAACTCAAAAAACAATTACGTAACTTTAAACACTGAGTTACGTATGGTCTGTCGAGGTTATAGCATCTCTTTAATTTTTGACGCTGCCTCTTTTCTGCGCTAATTGCGCTCCTCGGGGGTTGAGAATAATATCGAATTAGCACAGTTCAAATCGTTTTAAGTTACCTGAGATGCTTCAAGTTACTTTACTTTATGGCAACGTATTGACAACCCCTAACAAAATTATGCACTCCTGCTGTGTAATATAAATACCTTCATACGAACTAAAGAATCGCTTCTAAGAATTGCTAAGAAGAAGAAGAAGAAGATTAGTTGTGAAGTCATAAAATACGATTGCATAGAGTAGGCAAACGAGTGCACTTCTTTACGTGTTCATACGGTGAAAGTACTAATTTGACTTCAACATGCCAGTTGGAGTAAAGCTGTGAAGGAGTTGATGAGGTTGTGTGGGCAAAGTGTAGTTAAGAAAATCACTTAGAACAACTCTAACATTGAAAGGGAAAATTGTGCTAGTGTATTCTCCAAACACTCGTATAAAAGGTGGTTTACATAGGAATTACAACAATTCACCATTTTTGTGGAAAACATCAATTAAAGACGTTGATATAATGGTATATATAGCTCGATAGGATGAGCCTAAATGGATGAGAGGTGGCTAGAGAATGGTACTAAATGCTTATACTCTTTGACAACCATTTAGCGCCAAGTTAGCTCAGCCAAATACCATGATTTCTCTACCATAGGTTTTTAAAGAGTTTTGCTGAGCAGTGGAAAATCGAACTTTGAATGGCCTGGAGATCCGAACATCTAAGGGTTGTATATTTAGTTTGAAGAGCATGGGGGGAAATGTGCGCGTTGTCCTCCTAAACAAGCTTGACCATATTAAAGTTCATGTGAGCTATGGCGCAATACATTGGCGATTATCAACAGTGATTCATGGTGCAAAATGAGACTTGTCGATAATATAATTCAATCCTTATATCATGCGATGACAATACAGCCGTGACGTTTTTTTTCCGAAAATGACCGGGTAAAAGGGACATGACCAACACGAGCACAGAGCACACTAGACTGACATGATATGTACACATACATGTGCATATAGTCGCGTTACACGGAGTTGTACTCTGAAGTCGTTCGCACGCCATAATTAAGCAAAACGTCACCTATAGGCCTGTGGCCCATGAGCCTACACCGTAAGAGCATAGATTGCAATTTCTCTAAAGCGGTCGGTAGAGTTTTCCAGCCACGGCTAAAAATGATACGACCCTTGAATCAGTGAAGAAAAGCTGCCGTACTGAGTTTTCTTAATACAGTACTCTATAAGACAAAAAATTATTTTTTTTCTTTAATTTCGTTTTAAAAAGATCATAAAAAAGTAGTTTGGGATTTCTGATCCGTTCAACTTTATGTTTAAGTATCTAAACCTAGACTTATTCGCTCGAAATCTAAAATTGCAATTTAGAATGTATTGTGGACGTAGTTGTAATTGAGGCATTGACGCGTATAATCGCAAGTGATGTATGCAATTTAAATAATAAAATGTTTTTCTTAATCAAATACATTTGAGAAATTGGGTGATTTATAGCTTTATATAGATTAATATAGGGGCTGTTATCTGGTCATAATTTTTTTCACCGATCAATATTAGTAGGTCTATAACAGAATTTGTAACATCGCAGTATTCATGTTGATGAGGTAAAGTCCATTTTCAAAACATAAATATAAATCACACTTTTATAGGAAATGGACAATAGTGCCACGTGGCATCTTATGGTAAAAATATAAACTCTATTGTAAATAGTTGTTTTTTTGCCGAGTGCAAACACAACACTTCTATCGTATCAAGGAACTGGCTCAGAGCCATCTATGTGACTTGACGGAAGTGGAAACGGTTATCAGAAAGAATTATTATTTGCAGACCCCTATGCATGTAAGATATAAAACCATCCGAACGATACGTGTGAAATCAGTCTTCCTGTAGAGACACTAGAAGATCATTTTCTAGTTTGCCTACAGACCTATGTGCTTAAGGCAACCGAAAGGAGCGTGACAAACAATACTGTAAATTTTTTTAGTTTATCATTCTGTTTGTTTGTACTTACAACGCAGTTGTGTTCGCGAGAAAATCGACTAACATCTGAAATGGTGTAGGTGAGCTCTATTTCGCAGTCATTTGCCGAAGGTTAATCTGCGACATCAACTTGTTATTGAGAACTTCTTTCATAACTTTAGTATTTATTAAAAACGATATATTGATGCTAATTATTGTAAGAACGTAATTTAAATGCACATGTCGAAACGGTACAAGGCATCTTGGATTTAAAAGGACAAAAAGATCGAGAGAACTACCTAAAGGTCGAAAATTAAGAAAAAAGCTAGTTTTAGGGATTACTTGTTCATTGATTGTTTAAGGGAGCAGCATCAATCGCCTTACCAAGCGACTTTTGTGGTTCATGCAATGGTGTTAGTGAAGGATAAATAACCTATGTACATGGTAGGGATAGCATTAACTGTTATGTTTATTTAATTGAAATTGACAACATTATGTTGTTTTATGCACTGAAGAGAATACCACCAGCATACTTGCTACCTAGTATGGTAGTAGTTTGGTTAAGACACAAATCTTCTTTAATAAATTGTCGCGCAATGCTCATACATTATGCATTGCTCGTACATTAAATGTCATACCTTTTAACATTTAGAGGTCCCCCTAAGTAGTTTCAAATCTTAACTACATTGTTTTGGACCTTAAATACGTCCGTGTCACCTGATGGTATCGAGGGGGTGCATCAGCATAGCGAAGTCAATTGAAAAAAAACTTAGACTTAACTCAATAGAATACTAAATTAAACTTGATTTTTAAGTAAGTTTATCTAAAATTATGAGTAATCCGCAAACTAAATGCGAATACATCGTATCACTGACGAATTTTCTTGCAAAAGAGTATATAACAGACGACGCTAGTTTGCTACCTAAGAAACGCGCCATCAAGATTTTATGAGTTTCACAAATGTCTAGCATTATCTTTTAGGTAACCTGCACCGTATACGCATCGCCTATAATACTTCGAAGCGCGGAGCATCAAGCAGGCTAACAAGAAGGATGAAATAAAGTAACTTTAATCGATATTGATGGGAACCTCTGCGGTTCAAAATAGCGTTGGACAAACTTATGTTGGAAAACGTGCTTACAATTCACACAGTCGTACCTTAAATCCTTAAAGAGCGCGCCATTTTTTTTAAACATAAGTGCACAATATTCTCGCCCTGCATGATGCAGCCAGAGCTTTACTGCATGAAGGTTCTGCGTCGATGTCGCAAGCTTGATGGAGAAGAGCGTCGATTACATGCGAAAAGCGACTCAGGCTTCGAAGCCATCTGTGAAGCAGCCCAATTGCTACGTGTAGCCTTCTGTTAGGCGCGTACATATGGGGCAATGAGTAAATGAACAAGGCCTTTCCATAGGTCAGTTGTATTTCTAGGTGGATATCTATCAAACCTAAGCATAAATATTGCTACAAAAAGCAAGAATCTTTGACATGGGGTCT